ATAAGCTTCAAGTTTTGTAAAACTTAACACATATATATGTTAGTAGTATATAGCGGGCTTATTTTCATAGATAGAATTGTGGTCATTCTTCTAATGAAAACTTTATATACTGGTGTGTATTAGGTTGCAATCATATTACATATACAATGATAAGGGCTAGAAAACGGTTTCCTATTTTTATATATATATATATATATATATATATATATATATATATACATATATATATATATATATATATATATATATATATATATATATATATATATATATATATATATATATATATATATATATATATATATATATATATATATATATATATATTGATCTTTTGCAAGGGTTGTTGTAATGTTGAAATATACAACGTTCATTAATGTTTTTTATTAAAAAATTTATTTTTACTTAAAGACAGATTGTTCTAGTTTCGTTTAGTAATTAATAAGTTTTTATATCTAGATCGGGTTGTTTGCAGTTTTCAAAATACTGCAACGGCGATCAATGTGCCCCCGTCTTCCCTATACAAATACTTGTGTTGTAAATGAAAAAAAAAAAAAAAACAGCCATCACAGCGGCTTTTATTGTATGAGCTTCAGGCTTTAACCGATTCGTCAAATTGTTCATCAAAATATAAGTCATAGTAAGAAGTTTCTTTATTACCCTTTATTTTCCGCTGTAAACTTGATTTTGAAATTTCATATTCCAGTGCAGCTGCTCGTAGTGATAAACTGCCAGATCCAACAGCCATCTTAGCGGCTTTTATTGTATGAGCATCAGGCTTTAACCAATTTGTCACTCGTTTGTACTTTCTTGGCATCTGAAAAATATTACACACATTACTCACTCTATTATTCAAAAACTATACTTTTTTAAAATTGCATGAACCAAAAAATTCATATTATTAATGAAAACAAATTAGTACCATAACCCTAAAAACTTGTAATGAGATTAAATTTAAAAAGGGTAATAATAAAGTCCTTTATTTAAACTGAATTATAAATACAGTGCTAAAAAATATTCTTTATAAAACAATACTTACTGTGAAAAACGTCTTTAACAACCAGGATAAAGTTTCAAAGAAATTCTATAGAACTATTTTTTTTCTAAGATAAAAAACATATTAACATAAAGTAAACATGGAAATCTTGCCATAACTTGGCAAGTTATGGCAAGATTTCCATAATTTCTAATTATTTATTTGGAGTTTGCACAATGTGTGGAAGTGGTTTATCTGGAATATCAAAAATTCCTGCATAATTTTCTGCTAATTTAATTTTTTACAAAAAGAATTTATTGAAAAAATTAAATATAACAAATTAAACAACTGATAAAATTGAACAGTGTCCCATTTCACCCTAAGTCTCCTGCCCCAAGTCACCCCTATGCTAGTAGGTGCGAGAAAACATTTTTTTAATATTATTTCTTTTAACCATTTGCTAATTATATTTTTTCAGTAATTAAATAAGACAATAATAATTAATTAAAGACCATAAATATAAAATTATATGGAAACATAACATAAATATTTATTGTTAATGACGTCTTCAAAATCCAAGAAACTTGTTAGATTTTAACATATTTGAAAATAATTTGAATTTTAAAATACTTTTGAAACTCAAAAAACACAATAATATGAAGTACTTTTTGTAATCTTATCACATATATAAAAAAAACTGCTTTAACAATTTTTTTGCTGAGAAATCGCAATGTCCCATCTCACCCCATGTCCCATCTCACCCCGTTCTCCCCTAATCATTCTATCCAACGTGTTCTATTATTTTTTATCTCTTGGAAATTTATAAATTTTTAAAACGTTTGACTTCAATGATAAATAAGAGGTCGTCCATAAAGTACGGACGGGGGGGGGGGGGAAAGGTCTTCAAAAAGCGTAAGATAGCGTATGGGGGGAGGAGGGGGAGGAGGAGGGTTCAATTTAAAAGTACGTACTTCAATTTTCTAATTTTACACAACTAACCAGCTAGTCAATAGATAAGTTAAAATTCTGACTAAATATCCTAGTTTGCCAGCATAAAAAGATATATTTTATAGGAAGTAGAAGGTATAGTTTCTCTCTATGCCTACACATGCATGGGCGCCCGCAGGATTTTTTGATGTTCCAGATAAACCACTTCCACACATTGTGCAAACTTCAAACTTAAGTATGTTTAAACCTATGCCATTTGAAGAGGTTTTGCAAAAAGTTGTTATGGTGATAGCCTGGGAAAAAAAAAGCCCTCAAATGCTTGCATCCCCTTCCCTTCCCAAAGGTGATGGCACTAATATAGTAAAAATTTCCGATCCCCTTTCCCAACAAAAATAAATAAATGAGGGGTTTTACGTTTTGCATCGACATAACTTTTGTAATTAGCAATATTTTTCAACGAAATTTAAATTCTGTCGATAAATTTGAATTTAGTTTTAGATCGTTAAGTTAAATATTTTACTACATAAGTGCCCTAACGTTTCAACCGTTCCAATTTTTTATAAGGTCTCCTCATTTGGCATAGGTATAAACAAACTTAAATTTGGAGTTTGCACAATGTGTAAAAGTGCCCTATCTTTAATATCCTCCCCCCTCCCCCTCAAAAAAAATGTGTCAAAATCTTCCAAATTTTATTGCTAAGTTTTGCTAAAATAAAAAGCTCTTTAAAGTAGCAAAAGGGTACAAAATTTGCTGCTACCCCACAACCCCCCATCCTCTCTAATTACGCGGTATGGGTAACCTACACTCGGCAGTGGGTTTTAAACTTTGTTTTTAATATTACTCTTCTCGCGTAAGACTCGCTTTTTAAGGACTTACTAAAGAGATGTGCCTAAAAAAAACGTCTGCTATAAGTATAGTTTATTTTTATTTGATGCGTTTCATTAAACAAAAAAATAAAAAAAACCTTACCGAGAATCAAACTCAGATCTCCGCCGTCACTGCCTACTGTACTAGGTAAAATGCTAACTGCAAACCGCGAACTGCGAAAATTTATTGAAATAAAAAAGGTGGAGGATTACCCTAGATACTTCTAAAGTATCTTTTTATTACTTTTAAAGTATCTAGGGTACCTTCTCCACCTTTTTTCTTTCAATAAATATTTTAACTTTAAAAAAAAAATTGAGGGGGGGTATATGAACAGGGGGGAGGGGGTGTCAAGTTTCAGAATTTTTAGCGTACGTACTTTATGGACGACCCCTAACTTATAGAACAGCAAAAAACACATTTTTATATTTTTCATAAACATAAACAAATATCGCCATTTTCATTGTAGACTAAATAAAGAGAAAATATATGCAAACCAACAAGCGGTGTTATTTAATTTAGAATTTAAAGTTAAAAAATTATCGTTTTTATTTAATGATTGCTATTGAAAAAAGTTTCATATACGGAGAGTATATATTTAACAGAATTTTTATCTTTGCTACACAAATTTTGTTTTCGCTACAGGTTCTCGTTTGATTACTTTTAGTCATAACTTAAGACCTCGTTGTTAATAAAAATATTGCTGTTAAATAGCTTAAATACATAATAAATTATAGGTGGTATTTATTTAGTTGCACAATAAAGCGATAAGCTGAAAAAGTGGGCATAGGTGGATTTTTTTGAATACACAATTCGCACAACTTATTAGAAAAAATATCAAATGATAAGAAAAAAATATTTTTTTTATTTATTTATTCTCTTTAACACCCAAATTACAGGTAAAAAAATTTTTGCGGTAAAGATAAAAAAAGTTCGCTAAAATTTGCGAACTTTTTATTTAGGCATTCTTTTTTTCTGTTTCAAAAGTAAAAAGCTTAAAATATTAAGTTAAGGGTTAAATCAAGCCCAGGTAAAGCAGACTTTTCAAAAGTTATTAAACATTCTGTCAAAAATGCAGCTTTAGCCAGGAAAATTATTAAAAATAAAAATAGGAATTCAATAATGATAAAAGCAGAAATGGCCCTTGCATTTAATTGCAATTAATTGTGATCTCAGTGATTCACAATAACCAATTCTTAGAAACTCTTCACTAAAACAGAATGCAGAGATATACCCTTCAGTCAAAGTAATATTTGATGCAAAATCTAAATGTTATCCAGAAATCTTGGAAATTTTAAAAACATCTGCCAAGTATTATGCTGGTTTTTTTCGAATTTAATAAAATTTTAATAAAATTTTAAAAATTAAACGGAGAAAGTTTTTTTTTTTGGAAAAATTTTGTAATAATATGACGGTTAACTATCTATTAATTTATATTTTTTGACCTTCTTATTTTTAATTTAAGCTTATAGCTTTGATTCTAACGTAGTCATTAACAATGGCCATTTTATTACAGCCCAATGTCATCATCCTAAGTTGATCATAACCCTAAATCTTAATTAAGTTTTTTGAAAATATAATAACTAAAGACAAAAAAAAATGTATAGAATGAGTTATTGGTCTGTTGTAAAATGAATTTAAAAATTCGTATCTAACCATGCAGAGTGAACAGCCCTAAAGCTATAGCTTGCTGATTGCAAACTTTTTCTTTAGTTTAGTTAAGTTAGTTTATTAAATTTATTTAAATTTAATTATTTTTAATTAAATTTAAATAAATTTAACTTTTACTTCGAAATAAAATTCGAAGAAAAATTCTACAAAACTTTCGAATTTTTTTATTTTGATAACAAAAATCGTGTGAAGAAACCAATGGCGGAAACTTTAAAATTTAAAAATAATTGTCATGAGGATAATATATATTTAGTAAATCAAAAATTAAAATAACTTTTACAATATTATAAAATATATTTAATATTTTGTTTAAAATATATATATTAAACATATGCAACAAAAATTTTAAATATATAAAATATTAAACAAAAGATTTCCACATATCATTACTATTAAATCGATTTCTATTTTTTATTCATTTTTTCTATTCATCAATTCTAGTTTTTATTTATTTATAACTATATATTTTATACTTTAATAAAAATTATTATTAAAGTTAATTAAATAAGAAACTTTAACTTAAATTTTAAACATTCGTTTTAGAAGTTGTTGAAAAATTAAAAAATCTTTTTAGAATAATTTTTACTGTGTAAAAATTATTCTAAATTTTTCTCACTATTTACTGTGTTATAAAGTTTTTTAATTCATCGAGGTTATCAAAATCTTCTCCACGGTAGATGATCAACAACCTCTTGAGATTCAAACAACGAATCCATTCACAAATCTCTTCAATGAAATCGATGTCGTCGTGAAGTTCAAGACTTAATCCTTCACAAAGATTAATCCACGGAAGAAAAATTTCTTCAAAATCTTTTTTGGTTATTAAATAAAGTTCGATGTTTATCCACAACTCTTCAATCTTATCTTTCGGTTTCCATCCTTCTATTTTAATTGGACAATAAAAGTCGACATCGCGAACATTTGTTGAACATTGAATTATAAGATTTTTTTCTTCATCACTTAAAATATTTTTATGAACAAAATGTAACTCCGATAACTTTCTTCCAGATTTAATGTAATGATTTACGAAATAATTTTCACAAGAAGTTTCGTAAGAAGTTTTTCCATTGTGAATCAAAATCTTCCACTCTCGTTCATCGACGATTAATTTTATTTCATCAGTTAATGATGATTGACTTTCATAAAAACATTCAATGAATAAATTAACGTAATAATAATAATCTTTATAGTCTTTATTTCTTTGACGAGATAATTTAAGTAGACGATCTAAAGAAAAAATAAATATAAAATAACAATTAAATAAAAATTAAAATAATAATCGAAATTATAATATCATATACATTATAATATTCTACATATTAATACATAAATCAATATCAATTTCTAATTATAATGATATTTTATCATTCACATATTTAAATATTAATTTTTTAAATATAATTTTTATCACATTTTTAAAATAAAATAATTTCATTTTAATATAAATATAAATAAGTAAAATAATATATAACAAATTAATTTAAATAAATAAAAATACATTCCAAACAAACGTAGAGATTAAATTTAAATTCACGAAAACAACATCGTTCACTTGTTTTAATAACAAATGAAGAAATCGTACTTTATTCAATTAGATTTTAAAGTTTGTGAATCGACTTAGTAAAAATAAGTCAGATTTAGAAATATAAAATCGAAAATCTCATTCGACTATCTTTTTTAAAATAAGTTATGCGAATAAAAAACTCAAAGAGTGAGAGTTTAAATATTCGATTTCAACGTTGATTTGAAATGCAAAAAAAAAAAAATCATCTCACTATTAATATGATTTATGATATAAAATATTATCTTTAATTTGTATATTTTATGTTATAAAATATATTATGTGATGAAATCTCCGTTTAATTAGAGTGAACAAAAATACCAATAATTTTTCAAGACAAATTATTCAAAATAGTATACTAAATAGCAGAATGAAAACTAATTAAGAAATATTAATTAACAAATTTTTAAATCAATTTAATGTTAAAAAATAACAATAACAAACAACGAATCTCTTAATTTTTAACTAAAAAAAAAGTTTTTTTGTTCATAATAATAATTTGAAAACTTTTTGTTTTAGAAATATTTAAAAAAATAAATAATAGAAGTCGTTAAAATCTTTATTTCACAGAATCATTTTAAAAATATATTTTTTTACGTTATATATTTGATATTTCACTGTACTTTTAAGCTAAGGTAACAGACGCTCTCAATGTATCAAACGTTTTGTTAATTCTTGTATCTTTATAAGATAATTTTATATATTAAAAAATAATGATACGCTTGATATCTTATACAAAAAATTGTTTTGTACCAATTTGAATTAAGTTTCAAAATACGATTTCTTAAATAATTAACTAATTATGAAAATTAAACATTACAGTTTTCAACTCGCGCTTTCTTAACCCTTCAAATTAAGTAAAATGATACCTTTAGCTGAGTTCATTGAAAATATCAAAGAGAAAAAATTGGTTGATTTTTAGCAACAAAAAAGACAAATGCCACTTCAAAATCTTTGTTTTAATTTACTTTCTAGATTCTAGAAAGTAATTATTGTATTTTCAACAGACTTCATTTTTATTTTTAGAATTTGTAAATCTAAGTTTTACTTCATCTAAATAATACAGTGACATTCTAGAATCTAGAATGTCACTGCATTATTTTTTTATTATGTATTTTTATAACATAATTTACTTTATAAAAAAATAAACAAAAGCTTGTTATCAACAACTCCTTATAATCGTTGTAAGTTATTGTTTTGCAACAACTCAAATTTAGTTTCAAGAAATAAATTTTTAAATAAAAACAAATAATAAATTTATATTGAAGTATACTTACGACTTTTTTAAGCTTAAGAAGTTTTGTTACCAGTGTTAATTAAAAACAATCGTAACAAAATGAGATTTTATATATTTAAAAACTCGATCATCGAACACAAAAAATCCTTTGAAAAATTCGAAGAAAACAAATGAAATTCGAAACAACCGTATTGCTAATAGATATAGCAGTTTATTGTAACTAACGCAACCGTTAAAAAAATTTTTTTTTGTGACTTTTCATGATAAATTCTTTGATAGCATTTTTATAAAAGGACTATAAATCAAATTTAAAGCATGATAAAATGTTCATTAATAATTTTGACATTTTCATTGGATAACTTAAAATAATAATTTTTTAAATTAAAAAAAAAATTATTAAAAAAAGTGAAAAACAAAAAAAGTTTAAAAAAAAATTAATTAAAAAAAAAGTAGAAAAAAAAACATTTTAATAATAAAAGTTTAAAAAATAAGTGTATAAACAAGAATACAAGATTTTGATAAAAGAAAAAAACAAAAAAAAACAAGAAAAAAAAAACGAAACAAATAAAAACAAAGTTAAAAGAAAAAAGTCATTGAATATGGATAATAATTAAAAAGAAATAAAGTTTTTTCTACCACCAATATTTAATAAAAAGAAATTAAAGAGAACAATTTTAATTAATTTTGTGCATTGTTTATATGTTCTTTTAGATCCACTTGCTTCTGGCTGTAATTAAACTTTTTTTTTTACGACATGTCACACAGGCTGTGTAAATAAATTATCCTACAGAGCAATTGATTTGGAAAGAAAATATTCGGCCGGAATTCGGTATATCCCAACTATAAGTTAAAATTTTATAATAACAGAAAAAATTTGCAAATTATTATAAATTACTTTATTAATACCTATTAACAAACAAATAGTACTAAAAAATAACTCGCATATAACAAATATCAAAAAAATATTTACCTAAATTAAATAAACGTAACGACAAGACAAATAAAACGATTATAAAACACTGTTTTAATTGTTGCTTTTCTGATATTCAGAATTTTTATCTGTAATTGGGTGTTTAGTGAACATTACGGACGTATAAAAAAAGACAAATACAAAGAATAAATACAATTAATATAAAATTAGTGTGTCAAAAAATAACTTTGTATTAATTAATGTATGAATTAATGAAGTTGATCATTATTAATACGTTATTTATTAGTCTCTAGGCTCCACCTTTTATTACTTTGTAGAGGTGTTGCATAGGTGTTAAAAAGTAATTTTAGTTAGGTGTTAAAAAATAAATAACGTTTAGTGAAAACTTGAATTTTTTAATCTTCAAGTTCTTTGGTTTCAGTTGTTGAAATGTTTCACAGTTTTTCAACAATTGACTTTTAATACAAAACATTCTCTAGCGTACAAAAAAAAAAATTACACAAAACGATCGCGGCTTTCAAAAAAAAAAAAAAAAAAACCCAACAACTTAGATGTACAAAACATTTTTACAGCTGTTGCATGACATTTCTACATTAATCGAAACAAAGTTAGTGCATTATAATAACATTTAAATAAAATAAAATCGCCATTCCCTCATGACATTTGTGAGATTTTACAAATAAGTAAATGCCCATTACTAGGATAAAAAATCAAGCAAAACACATGAAATAAATAAAGTTTTATAGAGAATATTTTGTATATTTAAATGAATAAAATATTTTTTTAATGAATTAATTTTAAATAATAAATTTTATCAAGTAACAAATATTTAACTCCTTTTACATCGGCGAAAAACCCCCATAAAAATTCAAATAAAATTTTTTTAATTTGAGTTAAATTTTTTTTTGTTATTTATATATTATTATCGATTAAACTGAAGTAATAATAAGATGATAAATAAAAACTTATATAAAAATCCAAAGTTTTGCACTTCACCGTTGGCAATATGAAAACATATTATTAAATTGATTACTAAGGTAAAAATTGATTAAAATTCTTGGACAAGCAGCTTAGACTAGAATTTCAACAGATTTGTAATATGAACATAAAGTTCAAAAAGTGTCCGCAAACAGTTTCCGTTGACATTTCTTTTGATTTCGAATTTGTTGAGGCCTCTTATGTTTTCCACTGACAAATTATTTTTTGCCAGAGTCAATAATCTCATTTGATAATTCAAGTCCTGTCGAACCTTCAATTAAGTAATATCCAAGAAAACTTTCATTATTATGAATTTGGTTCTTATCCTCTGCACCAACATATCGAACTAGCATTGACATTTGTGCCTAGTAACTGATGTCTGGTGTACAATCAACAATACACAAAGATTTGAGCAAGTTTTAAATTTAATGGATTTGCTAATCAAGTCAATGATTTCATTTTGAATATCTGTTGCTACATAGTGCACAGAATTTGTTTTTTTTTCTCTCAACAGATGTTTTTCCATAACTAGATCAAATTCAGCCAAAAGTTTTAAAATTTTTAGAAACTTTCCTTTATTATCTTGATAGACTTTTTCACAAGAGCCTCTGAGTTGCAGATTTCGCTTTGCCATCATAATAGTTAAGGAAATTAATCTTCTCATTACAACATCTAAATGATCTATATCTTTAATTTAGTTTTTATCGAAAATTTTATCAATTAAAGTTGCTTTTTAGAATCTCTTTTTCAGATCCAACCACTTGTTGTAGCAGTCAAAATGATCAAGACTTTTTTAGTGTCTTTTTAAAATTTGTGAAATATAGCGCCAATCATTACCACCATTTTGAGTCAACATAATAGGATTTGAACAAATTAGTTTACAACAAAAACAAAAAACTTAGCAGCAGTTTCAGTCAATCTTTCAATTGTTTGAATAGTTTTATTTGTATTAGTAGATTCAGTTGATTTGCTTACATTTCCAGAATCAACCAGATCTTGAGTTATTGGACTTTCTTATGATGAGTTTTTAATAGATATTTTTCTAAAGATGATTGATTTGATTTTAATTGTTCTTCTTTTTGTTCTTTTTTTTCTTTTTAAAATCAAAACTGAAATCCTTCTGAAAGCTGTTTTTGATGATAAAGATCAGCCACTAGGTGTTGAATTGTAAATAACAAGAAATAAATTTCTTGTCTTTATAAAAAAATTGCATAGTAGTATATTTTAATAATTTGAAATTTGATTTGATTCCTAACTGCAGACTCTGAACCTTAAAAATACATTTAAAAACTATATTTTACATATATAATCTATAATCTAAATTTGATTCTGTGGCTGGCCACTAATATTATCAAAAAAAAAAAAAATACTTAATTTAACAAAAAAATAAATAAAAAATTAAAATTAATAAAGAGACTATACAAATTCTTTATACAGATTCAATATACAGCACTCTATATAAAGGATTGCCATTTTTAGTATTTATGAACAAAAAATAAAATCCTTTATAAATAATTTTCTTTATCCTATTTTTTTTTATGTATCTTATCACCACATTTAACGCATTTATATACAATCATGTGCATGTTATTACATTATTTTTGTTAACTTAAAAAAATTATAAAAAACAATGCTAGTTGCTATTACTTTAGTGATTTATTATTAAATTTTATAAAAACAGTGTTGATATAAATATTATATACAAAAAATACTGAATTATATATATATTAAAAAGTTGCAAATTTATGCATGTATTGTTATTTTGTTTTTGTTAACGTTTGCAACTTAAAGGGAACTTTAAAAAATTAATATAAACAAAAACAGTGTTGGTTTTATAACAAAACATTATTTGAACAGTAATTAAATGACTCTTACCAACATTCTAGTTCATTTTATCAGTGAATAAATAAATTTGAATAGAAATTTATCAAAGTTGAATAAAATTAAATAAAAGTTGTTTGCATTATAAAATCATGATCAAAAAAGTATTTTGTAAAAACAATTCATAATGTGTAAGGTTTGCAAGGTGGGCTTCAGCATGTCGGTATGGAATAAGATCAATACTGGACAATACATTTTACATAATAATGCAAGAGAACTCTTGAAAACAAGATGAAAAACTGCTTCTTGTTTAGATGTGCTTTATTTTGTCAAATTTCTGTTGTCAAATTGATTTAGATATATAAGTGACAAAATTTTCATATATATTGGTGCACTATAAAAAATATTGTAGTGATTATTTCAAATTTATATAACTATAAATGCAATTTTACGGGTGGTATAGTCATGACGTTTGAAACCCTTAAAATTTGGTGACAATCAATGAACCATTCAAACAACCTCTACTTTGAAAAAAAATGTGTCTTAATCGTTTATTCAGATATTCCTTCATCTGATACCCTAGGACTATACAGCTTTGAGCTGCCTGTTCTTCTCCCCCTAAAAAGGATCAGCCATCTTCAATAGAAAACAGCAAGTCTAATAGCAAAGGGGATATTGGAGGTACAAGTTATAGTTTAACAGGTGAAGTTTTTCAGTAGAAGCCTAGTTGCCTAGTCAGAAAGACAATGATTTAATGAGTGACCAAGAGTTTACAAAGTCATAGCTGAACTAATATCACGGATTAGGCAGAGGAATTTGTTAAATAAAAATAAGTCACAACTCATAGAAAACAAATCAAAAATTTTACAACTTGCTCAGTCAGAAAACCCAATGCTTCTGTAATGTTGTGGTTGATTTTTTTAATGCTAATGGAATCACATGCCAAGTAAATAGCACCTATTTATAGACAGTTTATTTTGGAGACTTAAAGCCATGTTGCTTCAGAATGAAAACAGCTGGCTACCAATTCTGTTGGCTCCTTCTGTGCATAGAAGGAGCCAACAGAATTGGTAGCCTAGTACCGAGATGTTGATGAGTATCTTGATGTATAATTTCATCAAAAATATGAAATTGGTATTATTCTATTACACCTTCAAGGCTCTCAAACAAATTTTTAATATCTTTAGCCTCTGGGACAATAGTGACACAAAGGCACACTACCAAAGTAAGAACTGGTTACAACAAAGTGAGTTCTCTGTGGGAAAGAGCAATGTGGAAGCTGCAGATAAAACTCCAGAAAACACTACAAATACTGAAAATCAATACACATATTCCTAAAAATCTTTTCTAGAACCTGTGTAAGGTTAGAGCTAATATCTTAGCCAAACCACAAAAAAGATAAAAAAGGTAAAAGAGATCATAAAAGCAAGATAAACTCTGTGGAAAACAGTTTATCTCAGAAACTCAAAGTCATGTTGCTTTACAATGCAAACAACTTCCATTCTGATGGTTCATTCTGTGCATCTCAAGAAGAATAAAACTAATCTCAAGAAGTTATTGTCTTGATGTATAACAACTACAGAGGTCATTAAAGATTTAAAATTGGTATCATTCTACTGGCCCTTCAAGCTTATTGTTTAGTTTTTCAATTTCCTTTGTCTCTAGGACAGCAAGGACACTACCACAGAAAAAGCTGGTTATGTGACTGAGTTCTTTGAGAAACAGAGCAAGGTTTAGTGGGAGCAGCTGATAAAATCCAAGAAAAAATAACTACCACTGCAATTAAGGTTTCATCAAAAACTTTTTCAGAGGATGAGGCTAAACTACAGAGCTAGCAACTTCGTTGAACCACAAATCAAGAAGATCATAGAAAATGATGGCCTAAAAGAGTAAAGATATATGTGATAATCATAATTATAGGTAAATACAATTTAAAACACAATCTTTTTTTAACTTCGTTAAACCATAAATCAAGAAGATCATAGAAAATGATCATAGAAAGACTTTTTAGCAAAATATATTAGAGTTAAGGCTAGGGTTAGGGTTAGATGTCATTATCAAGGACAGTATACCAAGTATATTATCAAAAAATTCATTTGGTGGCTACTTTGAGAAACTTATTATCCTTTTCTAAAGTTGAGTTTCTAAATCCTCCAGAGGGGTTAGTAAACTACCAAATCTAGGAAATCTATTTATTTCTGATGCTTATTTCAAATGATTTTTTACTGTATTTATCTATTTAATATGTAATTGTTGTTTATTATCAGACAAAACAAATGAAAAAATTAAACTTTTTTTGTATTTTCTCACTAAATACAAATTTTCTTTTGTTAAATCATGACATAAAATCAAAGTTTAGGCTCAATAAAGTCATTTTTTCACAGTCTTTAGATGTGACTAATTGAAATGAAGTCAAAATACCATATTACAGCAGATCATAACCAATCAAAATGATGTAAGAACTCAAATAAAAGCAGATACTTCACTTGATTGTAGCCATTAGGCTTAGAAGCAAGTCAAATCATGTCACTTTTTTAATCTTTTTTAAGCAAGTCATTTGGAGTACCACAAGGCTTGGCACTCTACTACACAACTCTATATATTTCAAATCAATGATTTGTCATATGACATTGCCAACCATGTTAAGTGCTACAGAGATGATAACAAGATCATTAGCTTCATTAAGTTTGCAGACAGCGCACTCACCATAACTACCCTAAAAAAGCATTTTAGCGAGAAGCAATATTTGTAGAAAAAACTGTAAGATTTATAAAAAATCAGTTACTGAGACATTTGCCTAAAACAAAAAATTTATTGATTTTTAAAGACACAATTGTTGTTTAAAGTCAACATTGTTTATAAAACTAAATTAAATTTTTGAAGAAAATTATGTTCAAAGATTTAAATTTATAATAAAAAAAAATCTATAACATAAATAAAAACAATATGTATAATACACCTTTTAATACATTTATGTATTTTTGTTCTAGACTTAATAAGCATTCAATTAAAAAAAAAAATCAACTTTGTAGCTTGTTCCAATATTTTTTAATTCAAGATATAAAAAGTGTCAGTTTTACTTGACCTAATATTTAAAAGAAACAAATATCCTAACAGAAAATTTTATTATGAAGATAAACTTTAATTTCTCAGAAGATAAAAACATAATTTTGATAAATGTTATGTTCTGAAAGACAACAACACTAAGCATACGTTAAAGAAAGTAAAAGTGTTTTTTATACTTGATTAGCCGACTTAATTAGTGTTTTTTATATTTGATTAGCCGACTCAAAGTTCAGATTTTATTGCAATTGAACACCAATGAGCAATTCAGGATCAAAAAAGTAGCAATTTCAAAACAAAACAAAGAGAAAATAATCGTGTTCCTAATAGCTTGGACTTGAATCAATCCAGATACAACAAAGAAATTAGTTGAACCAATGCAAAATCGACTAGCAGAAGTCTTAAACGCTAAAGATGGTCTGACTCGATATTAAAAAGTCAAAAAATTTAATTACTTGGAGAAATGTTTAATAATTAAAGTTTGGTTTGGACACTTATTTAAAATTAAAAAAATGCATAACTCGAATGCATCATTAAGTTTTTAGCACATAAATGTAATTATTTTAATTTTTAAGTTATAAATTATTTGAGCTTTTAAGTTATGAATTCTTGATTAAATTTGCATTTATTTAAAAAAAAAACATGATTAATTTATAACAATCATTAATTTTTTATTCATTTTAACTCATTTTTCTTCTGAAATTACTTGTCAAAGTTTACTTGTTTGTTTCTTTTTTAATTTTGTTCAGATAATTATCTCTCTTACTGTATAAGATGTGTAATGGCTAACACAGATGAATTCATTTGTAATCAAAACTGATATGTATATTTGTTATATTTTCTTATAAAATATTATTTATTTTGATTTTCTCTTCAAATCTTGCCAAATATTGTCAAACATACTAAATACAAAATAATAGAGTCTATCCTTTAAAAAAGGAATGATAAAAACAACTTTAAAAAAATTTATTCTTTACAAACTTTTGATTTTAATAAACTTTCACTTTTGATAAATAGATTTTATCTAAAATGATTAACAATAATGCAATAAAGTATTATAGACTTACCAAAAATAGAAAACAAAAATAAAGAATCTTCACAAGTTTGTTTTAAAGGATTCAGGTTAACAAGAAACTTTAAGGAACTATTTTTATTTTTATTGGTTAAACCACAAATCATTGATAAACAACTCATTAACTTTTCATTGGTCATAATCTCTTCACTACTTAAACAATTATATGCATATATAGATGCACAAAACTCCATTATTGTCAAATGCGCAAATTGATAAATATATTCACCTAGACTTGTTTCAATCCTTTCAATAAATCCAAAAAAAGTTTTTTCATTTTTATCGAAGTCAATGATAAAAGTTTGAATGTCTTCTTTGGAAAAAATTACTTTATTTTCAACAAACAATTGATACGCAATTTTACAAATGTTTAAAACATATTTTTTATTGAAATTGTTTTCCATAAATTGAGAAACCGATTCATTGTTTTTGATAATGTGTTTTTGCAAAAAGTGTAAAAAAATATTTGCATACAAGTCTGTCATTGTTAAAAAATAATTTTTGTATAAATTTTTTGAAATACTAATAATTTTACACATGAAAGATAAATAAAATGGAACAGATGACATTGATTTTGCAATTGCAGATTCCTTCAAAGTTGCTTTCACAACATCTTTTTTTTCCTTTAAAACATTATTTTCTATATAATTATCTATTCCATCTTCATTAAATCCCATAATTTGAATGTTTATCTTATCACAATCCTCTGTAGATATACTTTGATACTGATCAATTGCATAAACTCTACCAGCAACTACATATTTATATTTTTGAATTTCTGTTAAAACATTAACAATTGGATAGTTACTACTCGAACTGCAATTTATTAGTTCATGTAAATATTTAAACTCATCTAATCCATCAATTATAAACAGCGTAGAATGAGTACTAATATCAAAATCATTTATAATATCTTTGTAGAAAACATTTAGTAATTCATGAATATTAGAAATATTTTGATATTGATTAAGCCTTCTGCATTCCAAATAAAACACAAGTTTAACATTTTTCCAAATTAGACCATTTGACCAATCAAGCAAACATTTTCTAAGCAACCATGTTTTCCCAATACCAGCTATTCCAGATATTATTGTTACAGATTTATCTTTCATAAATATTTCACTATATGGAATTGGTGTGTAACGCAATTGCTTTTCAAGAAATTCTTTTCGTTCACTTAATACAGTATCTGTTTGAGCATTGACTGCATCAACAATACATAGATCAACGAATTTATGCATTAAATCAACATTTGCAGGTGATTTTAGTGGTACTTGAACTTCATTTATTTTCCCATAATTTGTAAGATAGAAACTTTTGAGTGCTGTGCATATCTCTGATATATCTAAAAACAATAACTCATTATCATCATCAAATCATCATTATCTTCATCATCATCATCATCATCATCATCATCATCATCATCATCATTATCATCATCATCATCATCATCATCATCATTGTATATCATCATATCATCCTTATCTTCACCATTATCATCATCATCATCATTATCATCATCATTATCGTACATCATCATATCATTCTTATCTTCACCATCATCATCATCAACATCATCATCATCATCATCATCATCATCATCATCATCATCATCATCATCATCATCATCATCATTATCATCATCATCATCATCATCATCATTGTATATCATCATATCATCCTTATCTTCACCATTATCATCATCATCATCATTATCATCATCATTATCGTACATCATCATATCATCCTTATCTTCACCATTATCATCATCATCATCATCATTATCATCATCATTATCGTACATCATCATATCATTCTTATCTTCACCATCATCATCATCAACATCATCATCATCATCATCATCATCATCATCTTCATAATCATCATTATCAAATGTTAAAGATTACAGGTCATTATCATGGTTAAATATAAAGACCTTTCAATATTTTAAATAACAAGTAAAAGAAAAAGTTTTAAAAGATTTTGTAAATATTTTTTAATTGAAAATATATGCACCAGATTTATCTAGACAGTCAAATTTAAATGAAAAAAAAGTTTTATTTATCTTAAAATTGAATATAAAAATACAAAAATTCATTTTTTGATTTATTTTCATAATTTATTTTCATAATCTAGAGATTCAAGTCTAAATAGAAATTGAAAAAAAAAAAAGTTTTGGAAAAATTTGTTTTCTTAAAAAAAAAACATCAAAAAAGTCAAATATACTTGCATGCTCTGTAAAACAGAAATTATGAGGTGTGTTGAACTGCATTTTAATGCAAAGTAAAGGGTCCCTGGCTAAAAGCTGGATTCCTTCTTTAATCAGTTAAAAACTTGTTGCAAAAGCTGAATAAGTTAAACAAAAAAAATTTGAAGTTAAAAGAAAACATGCACAGGAGGTCGCCTTTAGAGTTAAAAAAGCAACAAGACTTTAGAAAAGGGAAAATAGGGAAAATCTTTTGGACAGGAAAAGCTGACATACAAAACTGGATAAAGAAGGACAAAAATAGACCTAGATTTTTTATACGATCAAGAACACAGCAGAAAGTTACTTCTAGGGCCTAAAGACAAGAAATATAGCAAGAAAGTAATCCATATTATAACCCTTTCTTTCTGAATTTAAAAACTCTCGCCTCATTGCTCACTCTTTGCCAATTTTTTATTGGTTTTTATTTTGGGTTCATTAATTTTTATTTTATAATGCATGTTGTTTAGATTTTGGAGAATACAAGAAAGAGAAATCTATCTATAAAAAATGCTGCTAAATCAAATCATGATTTGAATTTTGACCCAGGATATTGGAGTTCTATAGAGTCAAGTAGTCGAATAAAAGCTGAGATCCCAAAAGATATTATTTCTGGTAACGTTGCTCTAATTGCCACAATTACTGATATATCTCCTAACGTTTTGACAAAAATTACTACTGCAATCCTTGATAGTTTTGGTGTTCATCTTACAAATGTAAATTGCAGAAGGTCAACAGCTTCTAGAAAGATGCAACAAACGTCTCATAAAATGGCAATTACTGCTAAAGAAGATGTTGAACTTAGCATCCAAGCTTCTCCCATGCATTATACATTTTTACGGAAAGACACTTTATGAAACTAATAATGGAAAAAAATTAAATCATGATAGACTTGCTGTTCTGGCAACTATCGATAGTGAGTCCCATCTTCTTGGACTTATGCCATTAACCTTTTTATCATGCCATTCACTTATGCCATTAACCTTTTTCTAAAAGTCTCAAATCAAAGATTGGATTACTTTGTTTTGATACCACTTCAAGCAATTAAAAAACACAAAGGATCTTTATTAAGAATATCTACTGAGTTAAATAAGTATCTAATTCTCTTGGCTTGCAGACATCATGTTTCTGAGTTGAGAATCACAAACATCTGTGAAGTTATAACAAATGAAAAAACTACGACCCTGATCACCCTTTGTTTAAACATTTCAAAAACTTATTTGAGCAGCCTAGTTTTGAGTACAACCCATCTTTGTTAGTAAAATTTGCTTGGGAAAATGTTAAAGGTACTGTTGTTGAAAAAACTGCTCCAGAATCTCTTGAGTATTGTAGATCTTACTTATAAGAAAATAATATTGTTAGAAAAGACAGAAAAGAACTAGCAGAGTTAGTGGTCAGTTATCTTTCTCTTTCTATCATTAAAATTAAAAAAATCAGGAGCGGTTCATCATGCAAGATTTCTAGGGAAATCTATATATATTTAAAAATACAAATTCTTTTAACTTAAATTGATTTTATTTAAAAAAATAGAGAACATATTCAGGTAATAACTGAATTTATAGCTTGTTTTTATGCAAAGTGGTACCTGCAATCAAATGATACAATCAAAGCACCTTTTATGGATGTAACTGTTTTTCATCAAATGTATGAGTATAAAGCAATATGTGCAAAACCATTTGATGCTGATGCTGTTTTGAATACTTTATTTAAACACACATGGTATCTAGACGCAATCAACATATAAATCATTTTTAAACTTTGCAAAAAGTATTGTTTGTGTAAATGACCATGCTGAGAGAGCAATTGGAATGATGCAACAACATGTTACAGAGATGAGAAAGAAAAACAAAATAGGCTTATTGCTGTGTACAAAGTTCGTTCAATTTTTATTTTGTTTTGTTTGTTGGCTGATTCTATTTATATCTGTAAAATATCAGAATGTTAAAACAAATTTGTGGTTAATGCTTTTGGTGTGTGTTATTGAGGACACATAAGAAGAACTTTGAATCAAATTTTAAATAAGCATTTGAAGAACACAACTTTGACTGACACAACAGCTCAATACTCTTACTCTATCTATGAATGAATGTGTCTATGAATGAATATATCACTTGCTGTGTCTATGAATGAATCAAGTTGACTTGCTGTGTCTATGAATGAATCAAGTTAACTTGCTGTGTCTATGAATGAATCAAGTTGACTTGCTGTGTCTATGAATGAATCAAGTTCTCTTCAAAATATAAATTATGCCTAAAATAACCCAAAATATTAAACATAAAAAATCATCCCCACCACCTGACTGTTTTGATAAAACTTTTACAAATAATTGTGGTCTTTGAAGTAACTTTCCATCAGTCAAATCTTACATTTTTCAAAATTCACCAGACTTGCTTGCTTTTTGTGGGATTAATTTAAATTTAGCTATTTCTTTTTCAGATCTCAGTATTGATGGGTACAATCCTTTGATTTGCAAAGACTCTAATAGTTGTATGCTTGGTTCAGGGATATACTTACCTATCAATTCAACAATTCGATAAATATTAGGTTCGAAACCTCCAATCATTCTTTTCTTTTCTTCCACTTAGCAATTCTTCACTCTATCACTTTTCTATTGGTTCTTTATCGTTCTCTAACCTTTCAAGCCTTTTTTATTATTATGGCTTTTAGATGTAATTTTTTTATGATGTAAGTTTTTAGATGTAATTTCTGATCAAACTGACTATGCCTTTTCTCTTTACCCTCTGCCAACATTGTTGCTATTGTTTACAATGGAAGAACCAGATGACTCTAACACCACTAACAACCTTGCTGGCACAAAAGCCTATAACTTATATTTTTGGTTTAAACCATATATCTTATAAAATAAAAATACCATTATGGTATTTTTAATATATGTGAAAGATATATCTTATATCTAAAAATATATCTTCAAGTTACGAAGAAGATACAACTGATCACTAAATACAACTGAACCACAACTGACATATTTAACTTTATTTTTTAATTAATCAGTAGTAAATAATCAACCAGGTGAACACAATATTATTGAAAACCAAATTGCCTGAACAGGCTTGATTTTCAGGGTTGCAACCAAAACTTGGATTCCAACATTAAATTATTTATTACACCATAAATAATTAGAACTAGTGTCAACTGAACTGAAGCTTGCAGAATAAGACTAGAAAGGTTTGATTCAGTATTTAATAAGCTTTAAAAGTTTTTTGAACATTTTCTAATAATTGGAGTAAGAGATTGTTTCACCTTATTTCTAAACCTTTTTTATTTCAAACAATATAACATTTGTGAATTAGCAGTTTAAATAATGTTTTTTTTTTGATAATTGTTCAAGACTTATTTTACTTGACGCAAGTTCAAAAAAAATTTCATTTTTATTTATTAACAGTATATTAAAATAATGTTTGGTGTATAAATTTTTGTTATAGCAACAAAATAAAACTTTTTGTAATTTAATTTCAAATCCCATTGAAAATTGCTTTGACGTTGTTTTTGTTTAAAGCATACAATTTAAAACTTTAAAAAATTTAAATATTTCTCATAAAAATATTTTAAATTGGTGTAGTTTTTTACCTAAGTGGTCTATAAAGTAAATTTTTTTTCCCTGTCTTTTAAGGGTTAAAAGCTGAATATTTTGATATTTTTTATAAATATCTAAAGCCTGTAAATTTTTTGTTTGAGCTACAGTTAAAAAAGTTATGAAATAATAAATTATCTAAAAAAAAATGATTTGATTTCTAAACAGCGGCATGAATTTGTTAAACAAAATTTATGTGCTACTAACTTGCTAGAATCTTTCAACATCATTACAAGTGCTGCTCACGATAGTAAGGGGGTTGACTTATCTATAAATATTAATAGCTTAACACTTCCGATGCTGCTGTAAAAAACGTCACTCAAATTTTTTTCAAATTTTATCATTTTTAGATTTAAAATGTTAAAGTAAACTCCTTTTTAGTAAGAAAACAATAAAAAAAAAAAATTCCACAAAAAACATCAAAATGTAATTTTAACATAAGATAGGTGGAAAAAAAAAAATTATGACCATAAAATTTTGAAAATGTAACGTATTTTTACCGTTATTT